AAACTGATATTCTTGTGGCAGTGGATTACAGCCTGGGAGCTGTATCACTCTTTCTTGCCTGGTGAAAGGTAGTAAGGATTTGCAGCTCATGTGCTGTAGCCTGGGATTCTTTGTAAGCCAGATGTCAGCTTCCCCTAGAAAAACAATTTGTTAGACACTGACGTGGTGAGTTCTCCCAGTGGTCTGTGCTCGCTCTTATGCCATTGTTGTGTATCACATAGCTTACATGAGAACATGATTGTCAAGAATGATGTTCTGAAATATGTCCTTCATCCAACCATATGGATCTTGTTCAAACCCTTGCTTTTGATCAGTTTGGCATTAGGCCTCAACGTAATATAAAAAACTGTGTTTGAACATGTGTCCATGCTAATTTTTAGAGCTCAGTTAGTTGTGTTCAGCATTGTTGACTTTCATGTAGCAAAGCTTGGCAAGGATGTTCTTTGATAGCTTGCTTTTTTTTCCTGTCTTAAAGCTGACATTAGTCAGTTGGTTGTCTCGCGCAAAGGCTGTCTTCTGCAGGATTTAGAATTTAACCCATGTTAACCAACGTTTTGAAGCGGAGATTAATGGGAAAGAATGGTTTGTGGTGTTTTTCAGAATGCCTATACTTCCATATATCCACGCCTGGAAGAAAACCAGTGTTACACTCAAGATGCCCACTATTACCTGAGGACATGGAAGATTTGGACATCACTAAAATTCTCCAGCAGAGGAGAAGTAGTAATTGTGTAAAAACTCCTAGTCCTACTACATGAAAAAAAAAATATTTTCTAGTGATTGGCACTAAGGAATATTATTTGCTGAAAACCAAGGGAAAGGGAAAAGTATATACTTTTAGAGGTGGTTTTATTTGATGGTCCCTAGTATGTCTGTTTGACTGTATTATTTGAGAAATTGTACCTTAAACCTGTTTTGAAAGTGGCTGTGAAAATCTGCAGCTGTCTTATCAATGAGATTCTTGCGGAGAAAATGGTTTCCATTAGCTCTCAGGTGAAGTTTCCAGAGTGAGATGTGTTTATTTTAAAAAGACTTTTCTCCTTTTTTTTGTCACAACTAACTGATGTTCTGAAGGTCACTGTGTCCACTGCAAGTTGTCACCAAGTTTTTCTGCAAGAAATTTTTAGGGGACAGTGAATTGCTGAGGACAGAAGGTTTTTGTTTGTTTGTTTTTGAGCTCAACACTCAAAAACCTTTTGACTTTCAAAATGTGACTTTCTAAATCTCTTCTGGGGTGTCAGGTTTTATTTAAAATTGATCTTTACATTAATGTTATACCGTGCTTAAACTTTGAATAAGATTTAATCAACTTGAATGAATAGAGGCTTCTGACCAGCTTCTGCATTGACATCGTTTTATAGTATCAGTCTGTTGCTGACAGATTGAGTCAAAAGCAAGATTTATCTTTAAGTGGCTGGAAGACTGTAAAAATACCAACAGAATGAAATTGATTTTCAAGGACGATGTCCTGTGACAGTATTCAGATTGGGTCTGACTTAGAGATTCAGAGTTACTGTATGGCTAACTCATGAGTGCGCATCCTTTATTGCTAATGCTTTTACCTTTAATGCAAAGCTCTATAAAACTCTCCTTTGTGTGAGATAAATCATTGTGTATCTGGCATGCAAACAAAAGCTAACTGGCTCTAGAAGTACTTGTTTCATGGCTAATTCATGCAGTGATAAACGTATTTTAATTTAATTTCCTTAAAGAGAAGCTGGAGCTGGACATCCAAGCGTTGTTTTTTGTAAGCTATTCTCAGCCTGAACACCAGCAGTCAACAAACGTTGTTCAGTTTGTTTCAATTTGAGCACTGTGAATACCCTTTGGCCCCGAGAGAAAAAGAAAAGCTCAAGCAGGGAAGCATTTTAAACAAAAAGAATGAAGGTGGATTTTTTTTTTCCTTGCACAAAAGGCAGAAGAGATAGGACAATCTAAATTTACTTACTGTTAAGATCCACAATCTGCAGCCTAGTTTCTTTGCAGTCGCACTGGCTGTAACCCTAGAGGACCATAGCTCTGCAATTGCAGAAGAGGGTAGGAGCTGGAGAGAAGTAAGAGCTTCAATGGGTAATGTTGCTTAAAGTTTTCTAAGAGGGCAGTGTTTCTCATACAAAAAAAAAATATATTAAAATCCAAGTAGGGTACTGGGATAATGATCACAGATTTTTGAGTAGTCGTAGCTGATGGAAGTGAGTCATCAGCTGCCTGGTTACATGCAGAGCTTGGTGATTTCAAGGGGATGTCTTAGTGTGGGGAGTAGAGAAAAGTTCTGTAATGGTGTTTGTCAAAAAGCTTATTACAGATTTTATGATAGTGATGAAGAAAATAGGATACTTATCCTGATCCTTTCTTCTGCTGTCACTCTCCTCTTTATTTAAAATTGCTTAGCAATGACGAACAAACAGAAATTAAGATGTGGGTTTTTTCTTCATTTGGAGGAACTTTTTACTTAAGAAATGATTATTCATATCCTAAACTAGCATAGAAGTCTCATTGAAAAAGGCTATTCAAAGTCTTATTTGAAGTTAACTGGAAGTACAACCCCCGAATGGGTATTTCAAAAGCACCTATAATAGTTTGTGCTTATCTTGAACCTTTCATACATGGAAATCTAAGTGCATTATGAGCGGAGAGGAATTTTGTTATTGCCGAAAGATGTACAGACTTGAAAGAGTTGAGGGAAAATGCATAGAGCCATCCTGAGAAGGGGTAGTAAGCCTTTTCTCTGTGCCTTATGGGGTTGCTTCCCTTTTTCTCTCCGCTGCACAAAACTGGCTGCTTCAGAAGAGTTGCTGCTGTTAGTTGTCTGCTGGGGTTTGGTTTTTTGGCTATGTCTGTGGCAAGGGTGATGATATGATCTTATATATGATCCTGCGTATGTCACAGAAGCATGCAATTGTCATGACCATTTGTGCCATTTGATGTTAAGGTGAAGAAATATGAAGTGAAAATACAATATTTCTTTAGAAATTATTGTCTTGTCACAGACAGCATGGTATGTCATGATAAGTAACTCAAAGGATACTTCATGGAATACTGCTTTCTTTTTAAACACATCATCTCTTCATGTTCACTAGTCTTGATTTTTACTTCATTTAGCATGCTATATTATCCATGGGCTAGTAAGGCCTGAATGTGAGACACTTCAGATGAAGGATCAGTCTTTGGAGGGACCTATTTGCTCACCTAAGATCAAGGCTTGAAGCAGGCTGATGTAAGAGTTGGTAGTGCTAACAGTTTTCATGCTGCAGACGATTGACTAAAGTCTATTTATCAGAAAGTAATCAAAAAATCTTATCTGTTCTCATTGTGCAGCTGGGAGCTGCTTCTTGAATGCATACCAGGCTGTGTTAGCAAGCTGTCCTCGTAGAATCATAAAATGGTTTTGGTTGGAAGGGACCTTATAGGGCTGATGTAAGAGTTGGTAGTGCTAACAGTTTTCATGCTGCAGACGATTGACTAAAGTCTATTTATCAGAAAGTAATCAAAAAATCTTATCTGTTCTCATTGTGCAGCTGGGAGCTGCTTCTTGAATGCATACCAGGCTGTGTTAGCAAGCTGTCCTCGTAGAATCATAAAATGGTTTTGGTTGGAAGGGACCTTATAGGTCATCGAGTTCCAACCCCTCTGCCATGGGCAGGGACACCTTCCACTAGACCAGGTTGCTCAAAGCCCCGTCCAACCTGGCCTTGAACACTGCCAGGGAGGG